TGTTTTTGTTTTCCTTTGTTTTTATTTAATTAAGCAAGAGGCTAAAGAACTTTGAAAGTTTTTACTCCTACTCCTGTCATTATTCTTGGAAATGTTAGCACATACTTGGATAATCTATTGAACATCCTAGTCTCTCATTTCTCTGGCCTCCGCAGCTTCAGTAATCTTTTCCTCTAGCTCACTATGCAGGCCACTCCCAAGGTCTTATTTATCCTTGACCTTGTCATATGGAAAAGGGTCTTATGGAAAAACTGCAGCACCTCAATCTCATTTTCAAATGTCCTTATTTCTGACCACTAACTTCAGCTCATTTCATCAATACCCTGACCACATCAAGACCCCCAATGAATTCGTTAATACTACCACTTTTTTTTTGGTACTTCACTTAGATTCCATGCTCCAAGCACTATAATCATTTATTCGCAAGCATTTAATTCCTTTAACCTTTCTTCCCCTCCATTGACTCACTTGGCTAACTTCCAATTCTGGTTAAATCCAACTATCTCCTTCTCTGTGTGTGCTTCTGCAACTCTGACTATTGCTAGACAGAAGTCACACAACTTGTAGTTTGGTCTCCTTTAAAAGTTGTGACCATGAATCTCAAAGGAGGTTGCACATTTGAGTACTGTCCAACAGTACTACTAATTTTTACTAATGAGTTCACTTTGTTCCCATTTATGGATTTCAATCAGATTGTTGCCATAAGCTGTTAACTTCTCAGGAAAAAGAGTACCTCAATTATATAGGGGGAGTAGTTCACATCAGAAGAGTTGGAATTCATACCAATTAAACAAGGCTGCTTTATTCCAGATGTGTGTTTCTACTTTGCATTTACAACACACTTTACATATTTTATAGAACCCACTATGAACTATTGGATTATCTGGACCAATTATCTTCACACTAGGAATAGTAAAAAATTCAAAACATAAGTCAGAAATCAGCGCTTTATATCTATCTACCATTCACGTATCTATTTACCTTCAACATGTGTCTTACTTCTGTAAGCTTATTCTTTGTAAATTTTAAGATGTAGGAAAACTTATAATGGCCTATTCCCTCTTCTGTTATGCATACTTTGCTTCAAGCAACTCCACCTGAGATTCTCTTCAGCTGACTGTCCTTGGTACTGCATTGCGCAGAAACCAGACCCTTGACTCAAGTCCTAGCTCCCCTTCCAGATCAAGCTGAGGCCTGGATTTCACCTGAAACACACCCTTGCTTGTCCTCTGTTGCTGTTCTGTTTTGCTTCCACAGGCCCCTTACTATTTTTTATTGGAAGGGCTTCCTTAAAAATAAATCACTATCATGTGATTCCTCCTCTCAGGGTTTGCTTCTGGGGAACTTGAACCTAAGGTAGCTGCCATCTACGTCCTTTCATTTCTACCTTAGTCCCGGCCAGACGTCATTGCCTTGAACCTGGGCCACGGCCATGGTTGGTCTCTTCACTGCTGATCTCCCTCCTGCCATTTCCACTCCCCTCAAATCCTTCTACACATTACTGACAGATTAACTGTCCTGAAATTCTGCTTTCATCACATAATTTCCCTGTTCGAAAACCTCTAATAACTGTCCATTGCCTACATCGATGACTTTGAAATATACTTTAAAAAAGAACTTTTTATTCTAATTTAAAAGGAAATAGATAAAACTCCAGGCTGCTCCTTGAAATACTAGGGCCCTATGTCAAAATCCAGTTTTTCTGCCCCTGACCCTCAGTTCCTCAATAGTCTGGTCCCACCTTCTCCGTTCACCCTCATCTTCAGGACTTCCCAGTGGGAACTCCACTCCTACCAAATTCTTCTACCTGTCCGTCTACCTGGGCTAAATTCTACCCATTATGTAATCTTCAATTCAAGAGCCTCTTTCTCTGCAAAAATTTCCATGTCTAGTTGCTGCAATTGCACATACTGATCTGCTCCTTCTCAGGACTCTGAAGCAAACTAGTCTGTGAATACTGCATTCATTTTTTTTTTGAAACAGAGTCTTACTCACCGGGGCTAGAGTGCCGTGGTGTCAGCCTAGCTCACAGAAACCTCAAACTCCTCGGCTCAAG